TAGAAAGTGACCAGGTCAGTGATGGGTCTAGAAATTATGTCCGGAGGGAAATGGTTAAGGAAGAATGAAAAAAATTCAGGAGGAATATGATAGCAATCTTCAAAAATTTGAAAGATTGTTATGTGGGAGAAAGGAGGGGGGATAAAACTTTTTTTATAATTGCTGTGGGAATAATTGGGTAGAAGTTTCAGAGAGCCTAAACATAAAAATAAAGTAAACAAATAAATAAAGCTTCCTAACTAGATAAAAGAATTACTCATTATTGTGTCATGAGGAAGATATATAATTGCCCATTTACATTTAATATGCTACTAGGTGACTTATAAAACTTCATTTGGATTGTAAGATGCTATAATTCTCTTGGTAATGGGTCCATAAGAAACCATTTAGTAGCAATGGTACCTATCTATGGCAATATGCCAGTTTCCAAGGGACAGAAGAATTACATTCTGAAAATACCAGCAGAACTTTATTTTATATATACTTATTGAAGTAATGTAAGTTTTAAATTTACCAAGTAGTTGTTTCTTATATGACTAAAGCCTTCCCTCAGGAACTGCCCATACCGTAGAGAGTATGACTAATGAAACACTGTGTGTGCTCTTTCTGGATGCTTGCTACTTTGAAACCCTTTGTGAATAACATACCATTTAGAGTAACTGTGTCAAGGCATCCCAAATGTCTCGCCTCAAACATCACCTCCTAATGACTCAGTCTAGCTCTGAGTTACTTTCCATTCCATTATCCCATTTCCTTTCCTTCATATGTAGCATTTAACACTAACAGAAATTATTTGTCTGTCTCACTTCCTAAAGTATAAACACTATGAGAGAGGGATCATTTGTGTCTTTTTTACTGTAGCATTCAGAATAATATCAGGCACATAATAAATATGATTAATTAATGAAACATTTAGATTGGGTCTTGAGGTATACCTCAAGGGTAACTCATTCCTTGCTGTGGTGTCTCTGGACCTTATGTATAATTTATGTAACTTAGTCTGAATCTCTGACATATTTGCCATGATGATAAAGTATAACCACTTGGCCTTTAAGATACCTTTATGAATTTGAAGGCCATCAATAAGTTCTTTTAGTTATCCTATTCTATCAAGAATAATCCCAATACATTCATTTTATCTTAACTTTGAAAACCTTTACATTTTGAGGCTTTCAGTTGCACCCTTTTCCTCTTCTACATGTCATATTTGGTGTGGAGTTCAGAATTTCACATGGAAGCCTGTCTTAGCCCAAGGGCCGTGTAGTTAATGTGTCACCCAGAAAAAGTGTCTTTTCTTGAGTCATATATCTATTTTATATCATCTTGGGAGCTAAGTTGAATCAGCCACTCTACTAAATTTCTCTAGATTGTCCTTTAAAATTACCTTTCATCAAACCTCTTACATCTCCTCTTGTCAACAGATAGCTTTGTTTCACATTTCATTGAAAAAAATAGACACTGTCAGTCAAGAACTCTCTCATCTTTCCCTTACTAAATCGATTCCTGTGCTCTGATCTGCATACACCTTCTCTACCTTCCTGCCTACTACCTCGAATAAGAATCTATTTTTATCTAAGGCCAGCACCCACTTGTGCTTTGGATTCTATCCTCTCTCATCTCCTAAAGGATTTTGATTCTGCAATTATCTTTCTCTTTATATCATTAGTTATTCATTCTCTACAGGATTATTTTCATCAAAATATAAGTTGTGATATATTTTATTTTAAGGGGAAACAAACCCTCCAGCTTCTTCCTAATTTCTAGTGTCCCTTCATAGCAAAAGTTTTGTTTTCACACATTTCCTCTGCAGCACACTTTTTCTGATGCTTCACCTGGACCACTACATTCATGCCTGTGTTACCTCTGTGTTTTGCTTCTTGCTCCACCTGAAGACTATTCTTTATACACGTCAGAGTGCTCCCATTAAGACACAAATCAAATAATCCTACATAATTGTTCAAAACTCTACAGTCCTTTCTAGTTTCACTTAGAGTAAAATCCCTACTCTTTACCCTGATTTACAAAATAATACATAACCTGGCTCAAGTATACCTTTCAAACCTCACTTTTTCTAGGTTTCCCTTTACCATTTATGCTCAAGCAATATCAGCCACATCTCTTGGCTTCTCAACCATACCAAGAACGTTCCTGCTTTGGGGTCCTTATTTTGGCTATTTTTTCTTTCTTATTGTCACTCATATCTCAGTTTAAATATCAACTTCTAAGACAAGCTTCCTTGATCAACCAATCGCTATCTCCTCATTTTAAAAATTATCTACACAGCACTTAGTACTATCTGTTATTTTTCTTATTAATTTAGTTAGCCATTCACTCATTCACTCATTCATTCAATTATTTCACTGTTACTGTGTAAGTGGTTTTAGGGTAAATGCATTACTTAGATGTCTTATTTACCGCTGTATATTCTGTACCTAGAATTAGTGGCTCATAGGAGGCATACAATGCATATTTTTTAATGAATGTTAGGGGGAGGGGGCAAAGGGAGTCAAATATATGGTGATGGTAGGAAATTTAACTTTGGGTGGTGAACACATAATCCAGTATGCATGTGATGTATTATTGTACACTTGAAACTTATGTAATTTTATTAACCAATGTTACCCCAATAAATTTAATAAAATAAAAATAAATGTTGATTCACCTTCTTCCTTAGAGATGGCTATATCTCTCCCTCTGGAACAAAGGACAGGCATGGAAGGTTTCTGCTCATTTAAAAAGATTCAGATTCTCTAAACTCATGGTTTCTTTTCTGTAACACAAACCACTGCATATCCAGATATTATTTGACTGTCTGCATTGTTGGTGGAAAAATAGCAATATTCTGGGCACTTTTGTTGCTGTGGGTAACAAACTGTCCTTTGTCTCTTTCCCAGGGGTCTCATGCTTTCTACCAGCATCTATGAAATGGTAGCAGGTTAACTATTATTTGCAAGTTGGGTAAAATCTCAAACCTTTAACGATTCCTTAAGTTCTTGTATTCCTCACAAGTATCACAGAAATTTTGTTAGGTTGTCAGCACTGGCCTTCTGCTATGACTTTTTTAAAACTAAATTTGTGCAAAAGAATGAAATCTACTTCCGTTTTGGAAAAAACTTCAAGTAGTTATTGTGATAGACAAATAATGCCCGCCTCCCCAAGATACCCATATCCTAATCCCCATAATCTGTGAATATGTTGGGTTACATATCAGAGAGGAATTGGGGTACTGACAGAATTAAAGTTAATAGCTGACCTTGAGATGGGGAGATTTTCCTGGATTATCTGGGTGAGCCCAGTATAATTATGGAGGTCTTTTAATGTGGAAGAGAACATCAGAGTGACATGATTTGAAAAAGACTACCAGTCATTGCTGGCTTTGAAGATAAAATGGCAAACTAGAAGCCAAAGAATGTGGGAAGCTTCTGAAAGCTGGACAAAGCAAGAAAACAGATTCTTCCCTAGAATCTCCAGAAAGGAATATAGACCTGCTGACACCTTGATTTTATGTCAGTGAGACCCGTTTCTGATATCTGATTTCTGGAACTTAAGATCATACGTTTGTGTTGTTTTAAACCACTAAGTCTGTGATGATTTGTTACAATGGCAATAGGAAACTAATATAGTCACAGACTCTGGATTAAGTTTTTTCATTAGAATGGCTGCATAAATACAGACATACCTTGGAGATACTGGTTTGGTTCCAGACCATGTAATGTAATAAAAATCTCAACAAAGGGTCTTGCCTTCAATTTGTAAAAATACAGCACCTGTGAAGTGTAATAAAGTGAAGTGTAAGAAGACAAGGTATGCCTGGATATTTTAACTTCACCTTTACAGAAGAATAAGGCCTCTAAGATGGTGGATGTGTGGTTTTTTGTTTCCAGGACAGTGGTAAATCTAAGAAGAGAGCATGTATGGAAGCAAAACCTTTTTTATGAATTGTAAGGACAATGAATTCTATTGTAAATGAATCTGTGTCTACTTTATATTAATTTAAATCATTAACATACATCCACACCAAGTACCAGGTGACATTTAAATATAATTGTAAATTGCCTAAATTTTTTTCTTAATTATTTTTGTCTTATATAAATACATTAATTTGTCAGAACTCCTATGATTCTTTTTCTTTTACCCCTAATGTTAAAATTCTGAAATATGGAGTTGGTAATGAAATCTGAATGGTAAATTAGGTTTGGGAGTGAAAGAAAAGACTCTTTTTGTATCTTGGAAGATGCAATTTGATTTCAAATCAAATAAAAAAATGATATTTTAGGGAACAATCCTGTATCATTGATTTATTGGATTAGAAAATCAAAGAGGAACTTTCTAACTCCTCTTATGTGCAATACTTCCTATATCTAACCAATCCTCACTGGTAGAGCAGGTGCCTATGGGGTAGATCTTCTCTACCCTACCGTGCCTTGTTAGTAGTTTCTATTATAAACTTTGTCATCACAGAGTCACTTTATCCTCCCCCGCCCCAACTTTTCTATCCTGTAATAAAGAAGTCTTATTGGTCTAAATTAAAAAAACAAAAAACAAAAAAACAAAAAACAAAAAACACATTTGGGAGTAGTACAACAGGAGGACCTCAGATCTTGGGCTATATTTCTGATTTCAGGAAATTAGCTTCTTTGTTGAGTTTTTAATGGTTTTGAGTCTATGGGTCACAATATTAGGATATTCTTGAGTTACTCAAGTGCATATGAATGGATCATTAATTGCATTTTTAAATACCCTTGGAATGGTTTGCAATACAATTTTAATGAGTGCTTTAGTGAGAATTAAATTGTTTTAATTAACATAAAGTGTTTGAACATGAGCCCAAATGAACTTTATTTATAAAGACCACTTTAGGTATATGTGAAATAATTGTTTAGAATCATGTTGGAATTTTCTTAGGTTACATAGATCTCAGCAAAGGGGCTTAATTATTTCTTTTTTCTCATTTGAAGATGGATAATGTACAAGTCCATTAAATTTCTTTATGGTTGCAGTTGACAGCACTAAATCTGGGAAACAACCTTTTAGAAGAAGTTCCAGAAGAGATGAAATACCTTACATCCCTGAAAAAGCTCCATTTATTTGGAAATAGAATTCATAGATTTGCATCTGGAGCATGTGGTAAGTTAGTCAAAGAAAAGCAACATTATAGCATCAAATTTAATCCCTTTACTATATTTAACAATTTGGAACTAAAGTGAAAAAGGAGTTTTAATCCTTTTTTTGTTGGAGATATTTAGACATATTCTTGAAATTAAGGAATTTGGGGGACTTTTTTTTTTCAACTATTGTAATATGTTTCTTTACATGTAGACCTAAGAAAATAAGTAAGCATCAGTGTTAGTGAATTTTCTCCTTTTTCAGAATCAGTGTATGTTTAGACTCTTGAATCTGTGGGCTCTTTCTCTATGCCAGAGTAAAAACTAGTTGGAAATCAAATTAAGAAAAAAACTTTCTACAGCTCTCTTTGTTCTTTACACTTTTTATTGTCTCAGATACTAAGTCACAGTTTTTGATCAATATACTAAGTTTAAATCAATTTGAGGAGAATTTTAAAGAAAAGATAGGGAATCCAATAATTGGCATTCCATTCAGTATGAAACTTTACCGTGAATATTTTAGTTTCTGTATTTCTTAATTTAGGGCTGTTGAATTTTGGAAATCTCATGTGATTGATTGACATGAATTATGTTTTATGTCAGGTCCTGATTATCCAGCTGCAGAAATAGTTTGGTATCAGGGGGTTGAGCACGTCCAACATGTATGACACAACCCTATCGGCCTGTCCAGAGTGGACTAGACCAGGGCTAGATATGTATCCTAAACTGGGTCAGTCATATTCTCTCTCTTGCTGATTATGATAAAATCTGAAAGTTTAATTGGTTTAAGCTAATCACATGAATTAAGACAATGGTTACACACTGGTGGCCCCATGGCTAAATCTGGTCCACAAATAGGTTGGATCTGTTTTGCCTGCCTTTTTAAAAATTTGAGTTTAGTACCAACATTTGCAGATCAAGAGAATTCACATAAAAGCTTGGATTTCTGTTTGTTTGGATTTTTTGTTTGTTTTAAAAAAGATTTCTGTTTGTTTGGATTTTTTGTTTGTTTGGATTTTTTGTTTGTTTTAAAAAAGAAAGTTTAGGCAACACTGTAATCACATTGTTGTGACAGCAATTGCTAGGAGCTGGCTGAATGGCTGCTGCCCTCTTAGATAAAGCACGTATTCTCCAGCTCAACACACATGGGCCAGTTGGATTTCCACCAGGCCCACTGCTGTGTTTTGTTATCTTCTTGGTTCCTATAGGCATTTCATTTGAGAAAACTCTGTTTATCCCGTCTGTGGACAATCAAATGCAGGAGTTGTGGGATGGCTACAAATACATGGAAAATTAGAGAAAATCTAATTTTCAAAAGAGAAAGAGAAAGAGAAAGACGTGGGAAGGGAAAAGGGGGACAGGACATGAATATGAAGCTGAGAGAAAGTATAATGAGAAATGAAACTATGTTCTGCACTCTGTGTTCTGCAGAGATTCCCAGATGGTATGTAATCTACCAGACTTTGAGAAGCTCAGGGTGGGGAAGACAGTCTATTATCCTGGAGTGTGGCCGGGGTCTCCTTGGACATCACAACTTGGTTCAGTGCTCCGAAACATCAGAAGCCCAGGAGATGAAGCATGAGCATTTTTGTGACTACCAAGAGCAGACAAAGGACTATGTATATATAAATAGCCAATACATATGTATGAGCTTATAATTAATTATATAGCATGTATATATTATCTGTATATATAAAATATATTTATATTAATATGACTTTTGGCCACCACCACTGCTGTGGTCTGAGGGCTTAGCATGTGGGGCAGCAGGGCAGTGGGCCTACACAGCCATGGGCTAGCTCATAGGGAAGTCTATGAGAAGAGCCCTGATGGGGAGGAGAACAAGGTATACTTGGAACAAGAGTACACCAAAAACAGAATCACCGACTTTGAGTTCAAGCCACTGATGGTACTGCCCTTGGAGATCTATCTTTCAATGAGCCATAATGTTTCTCCACAACTTCCTGCCATTATAGCACTATCTCAGAATTCTGCACAGGAGAGGCATGCCAGACGATGGCCAGGTGTGACACCCAGTATTACTAGTACAAAGAGTAGGTAAAGAAGATTAAATGCTCAGCCCTCTCTCCTCCACCCTCCACCCCAGTACATCAGCTTAGTCTTGAGCTCTGTGTAGAAGCTGGTGACCAATGAGGATGTGTTCCCCACGAAATATGGCAGAAAATTTCCAGGCTCCTTTGAGTCGCTGGTGAAGATTGGAAAATACTTGTTCCATGTGCTAGCACACATCTACTCATCCCACTTCAAGAAGACCCTAGCCCTGAAGTAGCACAGGCACTTAAACACACACCACATCCACATCATTCTCTTCACCAGAGAGTTTACCGTTTTTGGCCCCCAAGTGACTACTGTCATGAACAATCTCACGGAGGTGCTGTGCAGCAGTGGAGCACAAGCATGAGAGGTGAGCCCCTCTCCCCCAACTAGATAGGTGTGCACAAAAGCAGTAAGAAGATGCTATGTGTACTTGAGTTGGTCTGCTTGGATGCACACACATGCTGGGCCTGGCTGAGCTGAGTGCCAACTTCACAGCTGCAGGTAGGCATGGGGCATTTGGCTGATTTACCTTGGTGGTTTCCTGTTGAGTGGATGAATGTCACTAATAAAGAAGAACCTTTGGACTTAATTCATTTGCACAACAAACATTTATGGTACTGCTGTCTGAGTCAAAAAAAAAAAAAAAAAAAGAGCGTGGGTAATGGTGCTTTTTAGTTTCTCATTCCAGTTCATGGTAGCTTGACTGTACTTTTTGTCCTCAGGAGCCATAACTTAGCATTATAACTTTGTGATAAATTAACCTTCTTTGTTTAAGCTAGTTTAAGAGGTTATCTATTACCAGCAACCTAAAGAGCCTTGGCCACAGCAAGAAATAAAAAGGACAACAAAGGTATATGGAAAAGTGGTTAAAAATTATTTTCTGACATGTAGCTAAAGCGACTAAAATTATTTTCTAACAGATGGCTTAAAAAATTTGATCCTGCTTAATCTGAACAACAATCTACTCACATGGATTCCTGAAGAAGTCAGCAGGTAATTTTGTTTATAATTAGTTAACCTCCCACCCCCTCCAACCCACCCTGGGCATCTGAGCACAATTGTGCCTTGCCTAAAGTCCTTGCGGGATTTATGCATAGTAGCAAAGAGGCATCTGAAGGACTGAGGCAAGGCACTAATTTTAAGCAGATGATTCCTTAAACACTTCAGAGAAATGAGAAACAGCATGGTTTGGTAGTCTAAGTGTAAAAGTGGGCATTTAAAACAAAGTTCTAAAGTTGATTGTGTTATTGATCTGCTAGCTCTGGGGTTCTTGGACCTTGCTCCACTGTAGAATTGGTGACATTAAATTTTACTTCATATCTGTTTCATATGAGTAAGTCATTTTCAGCTCAAAAGAAAATATATTATAAAAGAAAGGATTTAAAACTAAGACATCATTTTCATTAAAAAAAACAACAACATATTTTCTTATCATCAGAAACAACAACAAAAAAATGTTCTTTTTCCTTCCTGCACATCTACACAGATAGGCTACCAGAACAGAACCTTTCTGGAGCCAGCTGAGGGGCTTGTCCTGCAGACAAACCACCCTCTTGTGTTTTTCTTCTGACAGATGGAGAGAGAACTCTCCTAGGGTTTACTTTGGAGACTCTCTTCATTGTCTGGTGAACAGAAACATGTATTACAATATAAGAGCATCCTGATTTTTGAAAGAGGACACAAAACTGCGAACAGTCCTCAACAAAGGGCTTTTGGCAGCACCTAATGTCTATTCAAATTCACTTTGAATAGATCTATACTTATATTGCTAGAGGTCTATACCTCTAGCAATGTATTATTTCCCAGATATATTTCAACAGAGAAGTAAAGTTTTAAGTCAGAATAACTAGAAAAAAATTTGAAGTAATCTAATGTCTTAATGAGAAGAATATTTATAGCAATGAAAATTCCAATAGTTGTCTCCTTGCTTTTTCACTTATTCAGTCGATTAATGTATTTGATGATATAATAAAAACAGGACATCTTGGAAGAACAGGTGAACTAAGTTCAGGTCATATCTTTGTACAACCAGCCTGATGACCTTGGGCAAGTAATTTATCTGTCTTAGACCTTAGCTTTCTCATATCTATAGGAAAAATTTTAAGTAGATGAACTTCAAAATTCTTGCAGCTGTAACATGTTATGATTTCACAAGTTAGTAAACTTAGCTCTAGAGTACAAAGTACAATATTAAAGGAACTGTATAAATCTATGGTAATATGTTAGAAAGATGAATTAAAACTTTCACTAAAAAAAAGTAGAATTGGAAAATGTGTAGGTCCATACTTTTTTTTACAGATAATTCTGGATTGTCTGTATCTTAGCTGTGCCCTAGATGTAAGTTGAATGTTACCTCCCCACACATGACTCCATTTTTTGACCTTGGGAAAGTTTCTTCACCTTCCTATACTTTAATATCTTCATTTCTAAAGTAAGGACAATAATAGCACTTATTTCACAGGGTTGCTTTGATAAATAAACTCATCAAAGATATTTAGGGTTGAGCCTGGGTCATAGTAAGTGCTCAGTGAATGTTAGCTTCTATTATTATTGGTTATTATTATTCTTTTCGTTTCCTTCATTCACTCCTTTTTAGATACAAAAGATTGACTTAGTACTGAATTTTGGAAAAGCATCTACCATACATGTCTCAGTATCCTCCTTTTTCTCTGCCATCAATTAAGCAGCCACCTTAGCAGGATAGGCTGTACCTGGGTAGGTATGTTTAATTCAGGAGGACTAGGAGGGAGCCTGATGATGGTCATGTCAGCTCCATGCTGATGTTTGATTCCCTTATTTCTGAATCCCATGTCTTATTTCTCAATTTGTTCAGAACCTGGGAAGGGGAGAGAGGAGTTTTGTTTATTGACTGACAAACTATTATTGGTTCAAGGACTTGAAGTCAAATCTCAGTAGGCAAGAGTTTTGTCTCTAAACAACTCTGTCATAGGCAGAACTGCACAAGCACAGGGAGAGAAAGAGAACTTGGGCATCCTGGGGACAGAATCTCTCAGAAAAAAAGGACAGGGGAAGGGACTAAGCCGAAGGGCTTAGTTCTTTTTCCAAATTCGCCAATCAGTGGTTATTCTTCAACCCACTGGAGAAGAAGAAGGGCAGGAGGAAGCTACACGTGTATATCTCCTGTAGTTTTCTCTTGGAAGAGTGTGAGTTCTCCCAGTTTTGTGGAAGTGGAAACAATTGCAGATCACTTGTTCCTCTCTTCTGTTACCGGAGACATCCAGGTTCTTGATGTCTCAAACAAAGAATTGAGCAAGACATCGAGATACAGCAGAAAAGAAAAGCTTTATTAGAAGGCAAAGTACAGTTCCAGACATGGAAGCTGGTCTGAGCAAGAGAAGCGTCGCTCAAAGGCCTGGTAACAAAGCCTTTGGGGTTTTTATCCCTATTTGCTGTGGGTGGTTACTTTTCTTAGAGGGGTGGTCTCCCTTGATTGACAATTAAGATTAACTGGACTCAGTGATTCATCATTTGCTTTCTGCACATGTTCGTTCCCAGAATTCAGTCTGTTATAATGATATTAATAAACTTCTGGGCATATGCATCATATTATAATGATGGTATAATGAGGCTCAGGTGAATTAAATATTGTTGGGG